CAAGTAATGATAATTGGATTCAATAAATCACATGGCATCAATTGGAAGGTAGAAGCATCAGTCAAGGGTGGACTAAATAAAGGTTTACCTCTGAAACCTGGAAAGGTTTCAGAGGTGAAGACACTTCAGAATCCCTATCAATATGTAACATGGTATGATGTAATTTACCACATATTCTGCATCTACTTAAACTCATGCAGTTTTTAGCTTGGTGTTGAGCAGTAAGGCAATTAAAGTATACTCTATTCTTTTTTACCATATCTAACCTTTTCCAAGTGATCAACTGCATGAACCTTGAACACTTAGATAATGAGTGCTCATTCTTACAAAGAAAGCAAATATTACCACTAGATACCAATAATGTAGATACACTAGCCTTAGATAGATACACTAGCCTTAGATAGATACACTAGCCTTAAACAGATCCTGGAATGATAACCAGTCCTCAACATTTCCACTAAAGGTCAGAAGAGACAATTTTGGAAGTCTTACATCCGATACCTGTGATTTTAAACTATTGGCATCATTTGTGGCATTAATTCATTGTTTAGAGTTCTTCTGTTCGACCGTTAACCAAAGTTCGTCAATAGTCTCCTCAATAGATTGCTGTTCCTCTACATACATTTCAATTTCCTTATCATTACATTGTGGAAAGATCACATGAAATACATCATGTAATTCAACTCTAAGTTTCTTAATTTTGGTTTGGAACAGTTCTATTTGAGTATTGTCTGCAACATCAATACCAGCACATATCCTTTCCTTAAGCTTGGTAGTGTTGGAAAGGACTTTCTTTTTCATTAACACACACTTAAATTAAGACTCTCCATGATAACAAGTAATAATAAAAGGCCAACTCACTTGCTTGAGCATATTAAATCCTGTTTCTGCGAGTTAATCCAGAAAATGCGAACACCAATGCACATAGAAAGTTTCAAAGTTTTCATACCAGCAGAAATCCGCTGCACATCCGTTACACTATCCACTACACCATCTGCCTCGATGGACTAAATGTTTACGTTGAAAATGGACTGTATATAAAATCACAATAACTGCACAACAAAACAATCTTTATTGATTTAAACTCTCTTAAATCACTCAGGCAATACGGTTTGGATCCCTCTTGAATCCAGTACACTAAACAAGATGGCGCGAAAAAACGTCCTCTCACAATAAAAATAAAATAAAAAATTTTTCAAATAATAATAAATAATAGTTTATACAGGCATGAGAAACCTATTTTTAGATGCAATGTCCTTGTATTGGTCTGTAGGAAAGAAAATGCAACAGTCATTTTGTTTAATAATGTGTGCTAACTCAAAAATGGCCATAAAACTTTGCAATTTCAGCTGCACATGCAACTACAACTGCAACAACTACAAGTTTCATGCACAGATCAATGACATAACTGCAAAATAGAAACTGATCAATAAAATTCTGGTAATGGTTAACAGTTTATGCTACAGTCAGCATTGTGTTATTAGAAAGATAAACAGTCATTCTTTACTTTTTTGTTGAAAGATATAAAGTTCTAATTTTAATGGAGAAATTCTATAAATATTCATGATTATGGATCAATTCTATTAACTGTAATTCCAATTTGGCACCATTTTGAATACTTAATGATATAATTATGAAGACATTTATTCATTTGTTGTGCAATTGCAATCAGCATGAGAATGACAAAATTTGTTTACAGTTACAATTATACAAAATTCAAAAAAGCTTATTAGTTAATTAATGGAAATAATCATTGCAGTTGCAGTTACTTATGCAGCTAAAAATTGCAAAGTATGAACACCACTTTTAAAAATGTTCAACACAATACAATATAGACTATGTATAATTTATTAAATTTCACTGTATAGGAGTTTGTATGATCCTAACTATTCTCAAGAAAATGTTGATGAAACTCTTTCATCTGGAACCCTCTGAGAAGAAGATAAATTATCAGATACTTTTCAGAGAATGCTAAACTATCAGACATTCTGGATTATCAGGTTTCAGACTAACAAACTTCTACTGTTTTGTACTTATTTATGGCTGTACCATCTATCCAAAAGAGTACAATTTTAGCTAAATTACTGGAAACTGGGATTCCATCAGAAGGTCTGCTGACAGCATATAAGACTTACCATCTTTGCCATTATTTTATTAATGTAATGTATCATTAATGTGTCAGTTTTTTTATTTTAACAATATTACTAAATGAAGAGGGAACATGAGTTCTGAAATGGATTTTAATTAATATTTTATTATAATTAATTTAAATAAATGGTTAATATTTGGTTGCTTTTGTTCGATAAGGCATAATATACTGTTTACAATGGAGTTTTATGTAGAATATGAATGTGATACATAGCTTATTATCTTACGGGAAACACAAGTTAAATAAAATCAGATTTAAAAAACCAGATATCAATTTATACAATTTTAAGCTTAAACTATAAATAATAGAATTTTCTTTAAGATTTCTCAAAAGTGAAATCATAGCTACTAATTTAATCATAAGAAGTTAGTTAAATATTTATTACTATATTCTATTAAACAAATTTATATTAATATTAGGAACACTTTAAGATATATATTTTCCTAGTAAATTCATTGATACTCCAAAAATATAACAAATCAGAAACTGCTTTATTGGTGCATACACAAAAAAAAAAAAAAAAAAATCCAAGCATTTTCAGACTTCTTTAGTCCATCCTTAAGGATTAAGCCATTATTACTTCTAAACTGCCCAAAAATCTGGTTAAACAAATTATCTATACAGTCAATTCCGTTTAAATGGGCCACTGGTTAATCAGGGCAGCTACTTTATTGAGCCAAATCTCAAAGAACAGAAACCAAACTAATAAATTAATACATAATTTAATTGCTTAATTGGGACAGTAGCAGAAAAGGAATTTAGCAATTTTTGATGTATTTTGTTAATCTTCCAAAAATATGTAGGCACTATGTACACTAATGTCATGTAGGCCTAATGGTTGGCAGAGACAAGGTGATTTTGTCTTTTGCTCAGGCAGTTTGGTTTTTCTGGAGGGGGTCAGCATAGCGGGACATATCACACAGGGATTTCGTGGGATGCGGACCTGAATGAGAGTTACTGACCCTGCTCTGGATTAGACCAGACGATCCCCTTAAAAGCAAGGGGACAAAGATTGTCGGACAATTTTTCAAGGTCTCTTGACTGAGTTGGAAGACAGCTAAAGTTCCCTTGGAAGGTATTGTGTGCACAATTACACCTAGATTCAGACAGCAGCCATCCAATTGTTGAGACCAGCACTGAGCTGGTGGATTCTATGGACACTCTTGCTGAAGTGGCCAATCTCCAAGTAAAAGAAACTGTGCTCAAAAGAAGATTGTAAAATGACTTTTGGACAAACCCTTTTCTTTTTCCCTTTTTATAGTTAGAACATGTTCTAACTAAAAAGAAAGAAAGGAAAAATCGTTCAATCAGAAACGAATCGAATAGTCAACCCTTGTGTACATGACTACTAATATTTGGCAATGCTATCATTACGTGAATCAGTTATCTATTGTCGTGAGTCTGGCAAATTTATAGTACAAATATTTTCTGTATTTTGGTTTAATAAAGCACTAAAATAGGTACCTAATTATTATTTTTTACCCACATATTACATATTTTATTATAGAATTTATTATTAGTTCATTTAATTCAAATAGCCACTTAATTTGGCCAAAATGGATTAATTCCAACGTGTGCCAATTAAGCAGAATTGACTGTACATATAAAATTACATGTCCTGACTGACTGAGTCATCATCGCCCAGAGCAAACTGCTGAACCTAAAGAGGTGAAATTTTGACAGTGCATTCCTATGACGACATAGATAACCACTAAGAAATTAATTTTCAAAATTTCACCCCTAAGGGGATGAAAAGGGGGTAAAAGGACAGAACCCAAACGGTTAGAAGTTGAAATTTGGTACACAGAGTACGTCATGAAAATGTACACTAAGAAGGGATTTTTTGGAAGTTCCCCCGTGGGGAGAAGGAGAGGATTAAGGCTTAACCTGAAAAATGGCTTCTATTGAACTATTTTAGATGTGGTTTTTTGCATTTTTGCAGAAAATTGAACATATTTTTAGACCATGTAAAAATTTTCTAATTAGTCTCTGAAGAGGAAGACCTACAGTACTTTATGCACCTGATAAAAACAGGTAAAATAAGTTATAATCTAATAATTTTAATCTTTGCTATCATTACTTTTTTCCCGAACAACACCAGGCTCATCTACTAGGAATCAATAACTTTAAAACTATTTTTGAAATCAAGAACATAAAAACTTTCTATGTGTTATTAGAAATTTAAATTAGGATTATGTATGTAATACATACAGTTCTATCATCATTAAAATTCTAAACAGAATTTGAACTGCTCTCATATGAATGATTTCACTCAACAAAAAATGATTGTAATGAATAACACAGTCAATTCTTACTGATTTCAGATTATAACTACTAATACTAAATAAGTTGATTTGAAAGAGAATACAAATATTAAGCCTTTTCAAAAATTTATTTTCAAGTAATGTAAATATTATAAAAATCATTATTTTAATTTTAAGAAAATATCATTAAACATTAGTAATTATTTATATAAAATACTATCAGAAATTGCTTGAAGTGACTCCCTGTATTGTTACAAGAGATATAAATACTATCAAAATATGAATTGAATATTTTGATAAGATTATATAAAAATGAAATTTTGATTATTATATATATCAAATAAAATTCATATAAACAAAATTTGCAAAAGCAGTTTTTCTGTAGTGAGAAATGCAATTTATTATGTATTTTTTAATTAAAATTTTTTGAAAAATCCAAAATATTTTAATAGTCATGTAATTTTGAAATTCAAACCTTTATGGCTTTATAAATGAAATAATTCTAAATATTTAGAATATTTAGATTTATTTCATTTATAAAGCCATAACCTTCACAAATATCCATCAATCAATAAAGATACTGTTACCATGTAGTTGATAACCACTCAATAGAACTAGATGACGTCTGTCTTTGGCATAATTCTTGGTCAATGCAAGTTGAAGATCTCCACCAGCCTAATGTTAAAAAAAAATTTGTTAAATTTTCATTAAAATGTGCACATATTGGTATTGTAATTATATTTTCGTTTTATATGTGGAATAATGGAAAGTTATATTCAATAATTATATGAGAAAACCAAAAAAAACATACTAAAATTTATTAATAAAAAAACCATGTATTTATTTTAATGTGTTCAAATTTTAGTCACTTTCAAAGTACTCTGCATTAAATGCAATACACTTATCAGTATGTTTTTTCCACTGCTCAAAACAGTTTTTGAATTAAACAATTTTGATGCCTTTTAATGCTGCTCCCATTTTTTGTTTCACTTCGTCCATGTCAGAAAATCTTTATCCTTTGAACACTTTTCCACCCAGGAAAACAAAAAAAGTCACATGTGGGTCATACTGTTTTTGGCCAAAAAACTTCTGAACACTCAGTGCAGTTTGGGCAGGAGCTTTACCATAGTGGAAAACCCAGTCATCTGTTTGCCATGACTCATAACTCAGGATATTTCTTCCACAACTCTTAATGCAACCTTCTCAAAACATCCAGATAAAAACTCTGGTTAATTGTTTGACTCAGAGGAGCAAATTCTGAATGCACAATCCCTCACACCTCAAATAAACAGATAGGAAAATGCATTGAAAAGTCTCAACCAAATTCATTGTTGCAAAATGTAGCCTCTCACAACAATGCCTTCTAGTAAACTGATGCAGATGGATTCATTGAACACAGTGCAGAAGCAGCTTGTACTAAAAATAGTTTTTCATCCAGAAGAGAATTCCTGTTCTTTTTTGTTTTTTTGGGTCCTCCTCATATTCAACTATTGAATTCAATTATACAGCCATATTCTGATATCCATACTCCATTCCCAATGTCTGTTTTTGTTTGTTTCGGTACCACTGTCTCTGACTTCTACTGTAGTTGTGCAGTTTAATGATTATTGACACAAAATTTCAGTGCAATCTTATGAGCTTATTCTTAACAGTTCATTACAGCAAGTTCACTGATTCATTTATTTATTTTCATTATTCTCCCTTTATACAGTTATACAGTACCATTACAGCATTTTCATTGCTATATATTGCACATTAAAGAAAATGCAGTCCATATGCAATTCCCTAAAAAAGAATACTAATCAAACTTATTTGTTGCATTACTGCTTATAAACATATATGATCTGATTACATGATAGCCAAGTAACAGCTATTTGTAATGTTTAATATAATGCTATAAACATAAATTAACAAGCAAATAGATGCTTTTTTTGCAGTGTTTTAGTGTAACTTGAAAAAATTAGCTGGAATTAGTTGGATAGACTAAGAACAAGTCAGAATTTTTCCCATAAGAAATAATAGAAAAAATCTTTGATATCCGATTTAACACTTAGTCTTAATAAATACACACATATACATACAGGTTTATCACACCAGTGAATGAGATTAATTCACAAATTCCTTAATGATTATTGACACCTTAATCATAAAAATCTATAATAAACTATGGCTCTTTTAACATGTACATTTATTTAGACAGTGTTAAATACTATTAAGGGCTAAAAGCAATATATTATTCCATTTGATATCAAAGTTTCCTATATTTGAATGAATTTCAAAAATAGATTCAGATAACAAGGTAAGACTAATTTTTATATATAATTTGCATTCTTTGATGTAACTAATACTTTCATAAACATCCTTGTATTTAACAAACATTTTTATTCTTGTTTATTATTAATTTCTATACCTTGAGAATCAAGAGAAATCTGTGACAAAGATTTGTATTACAGTTCCCTTTCTAGAAACAAATGTTAAAATGGTTATTTATACAGTATCTTTTCAAGAAAATATTTTTTGCTTCAAAATAAATTAAATATATAAAATTTTATATAAAATTTCAGATTTAAATTGTTTTATTTACAAATAAGAGTAATGACAATTGCAAAATTATTTATTTATATTTAAATACTACTGAATAGTCTCATATCTGTTAAATATTTAATGATTTCATAATTTATATATAATTAGACTTCAAAATGATCTAAAAACCAAATAATTTGATATTTCAAAACATTTAAATTAAAACATTTGAATTCAAACTGATTATATATAAAATAAGGAGAAATAAAAAACAATTATTTTTTAAATCATTGAAAATGCATTAAACTAGGATATTTTACATTAGAAATAAAAAGGAGATGTCGGATATATGCAAATAAGTAACACTATAGTGATTTGTGCAAATAATTCCTGTCATAAAGAAAGGCTATTTTAGAGATGTTCCTTAATTAGTTTTATGGCGATGTAAAAATATTTTCTAACAAGAAGACCCTATGGCTTTGGGGAAACAGATTTTGATGGTCTTTGGTGTAGAGATAGTACACCATGTCAGTGTACTACCTGTAAAATACTAAAGTGCAATACTCAAATATAATCAATAAAAACGAATTTAAAGTTTTTTTAGCACTTTATATATAAATTATACGTGCTTCCATTTGAGTGTCCTGTGGCTGAGTGGTAACAATCCTGACTCTTATGCTTGAGTTCCCGGGTTCGATTCTCATGTATACCTTTTATTTTTTAATTCATAAATACTTATAATGCATTTATTTATTTTAATTTAATTTCTACTATTCCAAGTCTAATATTTTTTTACTTTTGTTGACAATAACAGCACATTCTTGACACCTATGTGTCAACTTTCCCATCTAATTGTTATCACTAACGGTGACCGATCTAATTCTCACTAGGAGCGTTTTTTCTATCGGAGTTCTTTTTCACTCACTCTTTAACAGTTCGTTTCTAAATTTCGACACGAATAGACGTATTTGTGTAGTAAAACTTATTTTGAAAAATTATTTTATAATCAAAAAATGTCGTCAAGAGAAGCAAGTTCTTCACGTTGTGACGAAAAAACTGTTGATGATAACTCTTTATACAGTGATGTAAAATACTAACTTGTAAAGTGCAAAACTCAAATATAACCAAGAAAAACGAATATAATTTATTGAAGCAATATTATATAATTACATATCATTGTCAGATGTACATGATCGTGAATGATACTTATGATAAAAACATTCAAAACAAAAATTCTGTCTACACCAAGAACAACAAATAAATGCTGCTTTTTTAAAAGGTATCATCAACAGTTTTTTCGTCACAACGTGAAGAACTTGCTTCTCTTGACGACATTTTTCGATTATAAAATAATTTTTCAAAATAAGTTTTACTACACAAATACGTCTATTCGTGTCGAAATTTAGAAACGAACTGTTAAAGAGTGAGTGAAAAAGAACTCCGATAGAAAAAAACGCTCCTAGTGAGAATTAGATCGGTCACCGTTAGTGATAACAATTAGATGGGAAAGTTGACACATAGGTGTCAAGAATGCACAGTTATTGTCAACAAAAGTAAAAAAATATTAGACTTGGAATAGTAGAAATTAAATTAAAATAAATAAATGCATTATAAGTATTTATGAATTAAAAAATAAAAGGTATACATGAGAATCGAACCCGGGAACTCAAGCATAAGAGTCAGGATTGTTACCACTCAGCCACAGGACACTCAAATGGAAGCACGTATAATTTATATATAAAGTGCTAAAAAAACTTTAAGTTCGTTTTTCTTGATTATATTTGAGTATTGCACTTTAGTATTTCACAGGCAGTACACTCACATGGTGTACTACCTCTACACAAAAGATCATCAAAATCCGTTTCCCCAAAGCCGTAGGGTCTCCTTGTAAGATAACATATTTATTGACAATGCCATAAAGACACCATTTGCTGGATGAATTGTGGTAGGAGCCATCGAAAGACTAGAAACAGGCTAAAGTCAGATGGATGTAACATTATGGTTGTACACAGTCATCCTGTTGTACACAAATTTTGGATGAAATTTCATAATATACATTCACTTTTTCAAAGATACAGACAAGAAAGATCTAGCATTAAATTGTTCTTGATAATCACTATCTTTGTTCATCCCAAGGACAACATATCTACCTTCAAAAGTTATAATCTGTCTTAGCTGTAGTTACAAGTATGCAGATATCAGCTTCTACTGTGCACAGATATCTTTATTAAGGTCTGTACACTAGATAACAGCAATTTGTGTGCTCCTTACATTCCATATTTTGGTTATTTCAATATTAACATTTATATTCTACTTCTTAATTTCTTTAAAATTTAGATTAACAAAATTATTATTATAAAAATGTGTACTTTTACCTTTTCATATAACTTGTATAATGCTGGAATTTTACGAGGTGATAAAATGCTAAAATTAATTTTCCTCTAAAAAAAAAAATTAAACTTTTATATATAAAATATTCATAAAAATGTAATATAAATTTTTGAATCAATATATAAAAAATTATTAAAACTTCATAATATATTAATGCTATTTACAGATGCAGCAGCATATAATTTGTGTATAATGTTTATAATTTATATAATCTGTATACAGCGAGTGATTGGTTAATGAACAGTTCAGACTGTGAACAAATCAGACAATGAACACTTTTGCAAAAGATCTTTTATTGCCGCCTTTACATAGGGACCCATTTTTTGTATTTACAGATGCAGCAGCATATAATTTGTGTATAATGTTTATAATTTATATAATCTGTATACAGCGAGTGATTGGTTAATGAACAGTTCAGACTGTGAACAAATCAGACAATGAACACTTTTGCAAAAGATTTTTATGTTCAGACAACAAACACATATTTGGATAACTAACACATGACAGAACAAACACTAGGAGCAACACTGTGTTTAAGATTGTAAAACCATATTTTAATGACATCTATTCATGGTTTATGGAATGAGACTTTCATAGTTGTATACATAACCTTTTTTGTAGTAGTTGATTTCCATTCGCTGAATTTTTTAAGTGTTTTTCTGAACTTTTTATTTTAAAAAACCAATAATATTATGGGGCCTAAAAAAAGTGGTGTGTCAAGAACTGTGTTCATTATAGAAACTAAGCAAGAGATAATAGCCAAGAAAGCCAAACAAGAGTGGACAGAAGATGTCTGACATTACAATATGTATACAGTAGATACAATCTTAGCTAAAAAAGCCATAATCTAAAAGACTCAAGCAGATAAAGGAGTAACAAAAATCACATCCAAGAAAAAAAGATGGTGCCATCCATGAAAAAATGGAGAGATTGCTTTTTCAGTAAGACCTTGTTTAGTGCTACTTCGATTAACACTGATTTGATATAAAGTGGTCTGCTTGAAGCCTTAAAAAAAGCTCAAAATTTACGCTAATTCAAATTATTGCAACATTTCACTGATTTGTATATAATATGATTATTCCTGAACACAAACCAATCTGCAAATAGTGGCAATTCGTCATAGTGCTTTACTTTCCTTAAATCTATGTTTATTTAGTGCAATTTTGGAAAAAATATATCATGATGGATACCATAGGAAATATTGACTTCACTTGGCAAGAATTAACTGATGAATGCATGAACGAAGTGTGGAAGAAAGTATGGCTGGAAGTATCCAAGAATTCTCAACAAGAGGAGAGCTATCGTTGATGAAATTGTCAACCTAATCAATAAAGCAAGACTAGGAGATGTAGACAAGCAGGATTCTGAGAAGTTAGTGCAGGTTTCTGAAGTGAGACTTACCAATGTGAGATCTGAATAGCCCCGGGTCTAAAATAGTAATTTTATTAATAATGTTAATATTTTGTTATAAAATATTCTGTCGTTTGGGTGAGAAAAATAACGTTTTAGAGTGGGAAAAATAGATAACAGATGTTACTTCCTTCTAGGAAAGTTAGAACATCCTCTGTTTTTCCCTTATCTGCAAAAACTCTCGCTTTGATGGGAAATGTTCCCATATCAAATATCCCCCCTTTCCGTCCGTTCCCACGGAAGAATCTTTGCATGATGATTGGTCGCCGATCGTCAGATATAGAGGAAATTTATCAGAATTCCGGGAGTTCATCGACAGACCTGGAAGAGTCAGGACTCCACACAGATTTCTCCTGATAGCCAACGCCCTTAGACGAGTCACCTAGAATAAATCCCGAGTTAGCGCTGAGAAAATATACTTTGATTTTGTGCACATATCGATCTCCCATGTTAAAGAAGTAAAAGAACTTCATAAACGAAGTGCCTTTGCCTACCGATGAAGAAGACGAACGACAACTAAAACAGGTTGTATGTTTACTAACGATTTTGTAAGCTCTCTCTCTCAATCGTATATCGGTTAAATATATGTCCATATATCTCTCGACTTATAGATTGAAATTTGCATTAATTATCTCTCATTTATATAATATTTTGTATTAGTTTTAATTATTTATGGTTTATTAAATTTATTCTTGTTTATTTGTTAAAGAATGTCTCTCATCCTACCTTTGAATCAAATCTATAAAATAATCACACGCGTGTTTGTCTGCGGATCGATTAATTGACAAACTGGTGTCGGGACCCTGACATAAAGGAAGGCGATATCGCCATCACCAACCTCCACCTTAAAATTCGGCTTAACCAAAGACCCTCTGCCACTCGATTTCCCTAAGATTGGAAAAGGCCGTTCTTGTAGACGACAGAGAACTAGTCCTACCGACTAGCTGCCTAGTAAGTGACACAGGTGTAACAACCTACCCTGTACCCCAGGCCGGATATCACACCGACGACAACCTTTAAGAACTGGCAGAACAAGGAATTCATGTGAGCTGGAAAATAGTGATTCTGAAAATGAAGAACTCAAAGAATTTCTCTACAGATTTACTTAGTAAAAGTTTGGTAACGATAACCAAAATCGTTGATCAAATTGTAGAAATGACACAGATTTTGAAAAGAGTGCAAAAGCAAGACAAGTCATTTTCAATGTAATCTCCTTATACTGACATTTGCTTAAGGAAAGAAAATGAAAGAGACAAATGAAACTACATGACTTTATTGCAATAATCAAGAATTTCAGAAGAGCCAGGATCTTCATCATAAAAAATGAACTTTACATTTCTGTATGCATATGTTTGTGTGTTATTTAACATATATTATTATCCAAATTAATATAAAAAAATAAAATCTGTTTATTTTTGGTCACATGTTCCCCTTTCCCTATTTACTATGGGTTAAAATGACCTCATTTAATGCTGTTTCATTTAGTGCTTTGTCATCTAGGAATGCATCCTAAGCACTAAACAATGTCTTACTGTAGTTTGTTATTACATATAAATATAGTAAGAAAGTATATAATTTTTTATTTATTTTTTGGGATCTCCAGAACAAATTAATCAAATTTCCACAAAAATCTATGGTAAATTGTTAATTGATTAATGAACAATTCGGATAGCAAAAATGGTCTTGGAACAGATTATGTTCATTAACCGATCACCTACTGTATTAGTAGTTTTCACAAGAACATTTTCATGATAATTTTGAGAAAATTCTATCAGTACCAATATTTAAAAACATTATGAGTCAAACTCAAATAAAATAACATCTCAAATTTCAGTAAATTTGATTTTTAGTCTTTCCAAATTATTTTATACTATACTGAGTTAACAATATAAACAGTATCTATAAGTCTATAAAAATAATTTCAAAGTAATCTTTAACAAATTTATCTTTATTTTTTCTTGATGATATAGTGCAGGGGTCAGCAAACTATGGCTTGCAGGCGAGATCTGGCTTGCAAGGTCAGTTTTATCTGGCCTGCTGCCGCACTGTGCCACAAATGAGCTAAAATATAATTATTTATATGGAAATATCACAGATTGTAGGTAAACTTACTATGTATAAAAAATTAAAATAAATGTAAGTAAAAATGCCAAAATTGGTCCAATCTGATTTTTGCATTTCACAGTAATATAATTTTTAGGAAAATCAGCGAAATGAAAAGTTTAGCAACTTTTTGCAACTTTGGATATCAGGGCGCTTTTTGTATAAGCACCTGCAATAAAGTTTCTAAGAAAAGTGATTCTGAACTTTCTGCAGCCATAGTATTTGCATATTGGTAAATAAATATCTTGGTTTTCTTTATTTTTTGTGTTTTCAGTATACTACATTGAATTATATGGCCCACTCGATTAGGGGGTAGGACAGTTAGGACGTGGTGAACAGCTGCTGTGTTTTCGGTCGCCGAATCAGTGTTCTACCTGCTTAATCGTGAGTTTTGTGTATATATTTTTATTGTTAGTGTCGAATGGTTTATTTTAATATTTCATTTGTCAAAATCAGTGCGTAATTAACAAAGTTACAGCTATTTCTCTACTGCGTCCACGTGGTCCACTTTGTGGTCCGTTTATGGCACCTACCTTACGTTCTGTTCGTGATAACGATTTTTCGTTTACTCTGTTGTGTACAGCTTATTTTCCCGAGTTGGACGATATATTACTTTATTATTTCCGCTTTTATAAGGGGTTATTTTATTTTATTTTCTTTGTCGTCGCTTCTGGTCCAATTTTAAAACATTCTTCCAGTGGACTCGCTTTGTTTCTGGCCACCATTTTCGGGTGGTTGTGAGAGGGCATGGTCAAGCCCCCAAATGTTCCAGCTACGCTGTCCTTAACGTGCATATTCGCCGGAAACTCCTCTCAGCCCAGCGTATGGCAGCTACTGTAGCAACCAAAGCCTATCGAACTGCACCAACAAATGCCCTTCTTGTCATCACAGGACTCCCCCCTATTCAGCACGTCATCCTGAGCAGGTATATCAAAAACCTTCTCATAAAGCTCAACACTATGACTATCAGGGCAATCAATGAACTTAAGCTCCTGGAGGCCACCCACTCCATTGTCAAAGACATTAAGGACTACGGGATCGACAAAACGGTCTAAACTGACACACCCACCCAGCTGCCATTAAGAGCTGCAATATCTACTTCAACCATCCCTTCCTACTAAGGGAGTCAACTTTTATACTGACGGCTCCAAAACTGACAACACGGTTGGCGCTGCTGTCTACCTCGACAACCCCAACAAGAAGCACTACTGGAAATCAGTAGCCTCTCTCAACAATCACTGCACCATCAATCAGGCTGTCGTTAACCATCCTGCAGATCTGAAATACATCAAACCAACATTCAGCATTTTAAACGAACCACCATCAACATCTTAAGTGACAGCTGCACAGCTCTCCACCAATTGAACAAAGGCAATCGCCAACTCCCATCATCAACAACTGCCTCCAGATCATAGGAGAAATTGGTCAGGTGGCTTCTATCAACCTAAACTGGATAAAGGGACACACTGGGATTTATGGCAATGAGAAAGCTGATGCTCTCGCCAAGAAAGCCCATACAATCACAAGTAACTGCAGT